AGGGTTGGGGATTTCCGATCTCAATGTCGATCGATGTCGGAGAATTCTCAATTCCAGACCTACCTCTCTTCTTCACCATGTTCACAATAATCTACCTAATCGCTTACTTCATCGTATTCCGCAATTGGAAACCTCAAATCCGACCCGAAGCATCAAGCTGTATGATTTCAATCTTCCACGGTACACCGGCGGTTTTCCTCGCCTCACGAGCCGTATTCTCTTCTCCTTCAAGCTCCTTCTCATCCGCGAACACCGCCGCTCAAAACACCGTACTCGATTTCAGTGTCGCTTACTTCCTCACCGATCTCTTCCACTACATCGTCTTCTACCCTAAAGACGTACTCTTCATCGGACATCACTTAGCAACCTTGTTCGTCTTTTTAACCTGTAGATTCCTCGTCTTCCATGGAGCTTGCGCGATCTTAGGGTTACTGATTCTCGCTGAAGTCACAAGCGCTTGTCAGAACGCATGGACACTCGCCGGAGCTAGGAAGAATGACCCGGAAGCTAGATTAGCTTTGAAAGTGTACGATCTCTTGTCTCCTCCGTTTTACAGCTTCTACAGTATCGTTAGGGGTGTTTTGGGACCATTGTTTTTTGGGAAAATGGTTGCTTTTTATGCAAGAGGTGGTGCTCAAGGTGTGATTCCGAATTGGTTGTGGATTTCTTGGGCTATTGTGGTTGGTACTGCGATTTCTGTTAGTATACTTTGGATTTGGAATCTCTGGATAGAATTGTTTAGAGAAAGGAAGATCAAACTAAGAGAAGGCAAGAAAGTTAGTTAGGTTTTGTGTGTGTCAATGATCATTTGCTTCCTTTCTTTCCATGTACTATATTACCCAATTTCTAAAGTATGTATGTTTGGAATAATAGATTTGCTTGTTTGGCTTTTCTTCTTTTGAATTCCCACCTTTAACACATCTGATTTATTCAGTGGATTTGTAATCATGGTGTTGATGGCCAAATACTACATTGTTCTACTGTTTCTATGGTGTTTCTAGTTCATTCTGCTTAGACTATGAATAGAAAGCTTGTGGGCGTTCTATTAGCTAAGTAGGATATTGCTTACAAAAGTGAAAGACCGACTTCTGGATAAAAAGTTTGTGCAAGTGCATTTTTAATTCATGTTTGTTTCATCCCTGTATTATTCAGAAGTTAATTTTTAAGAGTTGCTACCAACTGATTTAAAGTTCTTCTGTTAGACTTCTCTTGATTCTAGTTATTACCGAGAATTTGGAACTCTACAAGATGCAGGGTATTGTATTTCGTATCCTTTTTAAGTGTGGCAGTCTTGGTGAGTTATGTTTGGCTTTATAATTCTCTTTGTTTAGAACTTGTGTGTGTTTATGCAATACATCCAACAAGTAGAGAAAAATATTATGAGAATCTTGTTTGTGCCTTCTCGTCGACAACCAAAAAAATGATTGACAGTCCTGGGAGGCCTAGCATTTGTTTCTCAGGTTCGTGGCAGCCCAGATTGGTTAATGTATCTTGTTGAATTTCTTTTAGTATTATCGCTATCCATACAATAGGTGTCGTCAGGAGATCCCTGAGAACAATTCAGATCTGCAATGATGAGCGATATTATGTAGGGTGAGTTTGCTGATAATCCTCCTGGTTGGTAAGTCAAGATAGACTTAAATTTTCTAGTTCCTTTAGTCATGCAACGGATCTAAATTGTGAATCTATTGTGATACTAACACGTTTATTGACAGTAGAGGGAGCATAACATGGCTTCAAATATGTGGTCGGACCGAACACGAGTCCTCCATCCATACGCGGACAACAGTGCACTGGAGTATGGTAAGGTTTATGCATTGCCCATTGTGTTTGCTACAATAAAGAGGTAAATGAGTCGTTGGTGTTACTTTTTCTGTTGGAAGATAAGAAACAAGCTCTTGCTCGACCTACCCACAAAAGAACAGAGCACAACAAAGCTTAGAATTCTGGTAGGAGTCAAGAGCCATTTCCTTATTATAATTACATATTCAATCATGTCGAACACTTGCGTTGCATAAACCTAGATAGGCCACAATATAAGCCACTTGCGGTTTTGCTGTGCTGTGAGAATGTATTGTGTAAACCTTACGAGGGGGAGAGGGAAGTAGCAGAAAGTGTAAGCCTATAACCATATAAGCTACAAGTGCTCCTTTCCAAAACAACGTTATGGCTTTGTATAGGCAAAAGCCATCTCGCCTAATGCACTGAAATAGCCAAAACTTGCTTCAGAGGTTTGCTTCTCATTCACAGCTTCCTTTCTATCCTGTTTATCTGTTTGATTCTCTGTACATCTTACTTTTATGTATTTAGAAGATATAACGCACAAAACTAGGCAGGGAAGGTTAGTTTATCTCACAGACTTAGACCGCAACAAGTGAGACCCGAGAGGGAGTCAAAGTTGTTAAAAGCTGTGAAAACACGAGATCAAACTGAAAACTTGATTGGCGATCAGGAGCAGCAAGGTTCACTGTTCTTCTTCAGTGATTGGTCCCCTGTGTAGCTTGACCTCACAATGCATCCTTTGTCTTTTGATCTAGAATTGAAAATACCTAAACAACCAAATAATGTTCATAACCTGCAAAACTCCAAAAGAAAGAAATAAGAGCGAAAATAAACGAACCTATAACATTCCTATAACCACTCTCCATCATCAGCTATATAATATGTTTCTCTGCTCGAGCAAATTGTGTAGTCAGAAAATATACTTACCCGAATTGGACAGTAATTGTTAAGACATTTGGGCTATTCGGGCCCACAAAATAAGAAGGTTCGTGTAAAAAAAACCTTAATAATACTACTATAAGAATGCGTGAGAGGTAAGTCTTTTCCTTTTCTTATCCCTCACGGAAAAGGGGGAAAAAAAAAACACCCTTTAAAAATCTCAGCATCTCCTGCGTTTTCAAACTGCTTCTCATCTACTTCAAAACAAAAAAGCCATAAAAAACTACGTAATATGCAGTCTTCAAAGCAAATCATGGAGTGGACAAAGATCGCAAAGAGGGTTTTTGGTGTAGGAGCCGCCCTGTCGACCGTGATCGCTTCTAGATACACCGTAGATGGCGGCCAGAGAGCTGTGATGTTCGACCGATTCAAAGGGGTTCTCGAAGAACCTATCGGAGAAGGAACACATCTCAAGGTTCCATGGGTGCAAAAGGCATATATATTCGACATTCGAACCCAACCCTACGAAATCTCCTGCGAATCTGGAACTAAAGATCTTCAGATGGTTAATCTCACTCTCCGTGTTATGTCTCGTCCTGATGTAAGTCTGTAGTCTGGTAGTAACATAAGTCTGATG